GAGCCACCTCCATGACCAAGCCGATGCGTCGCTCAACAACCCCATTCTGCTGCAGGGAGTCCGGCAGGGTCAACGTCTGGGTGATGCCCTCCGCACGACAGAAGCGATCAAGGCAGCCAGAAGCGAACTCGCCACCATGGTCAGAGTGAAGACGCAAGACAGGGAGACCTCAGTGAACACGTGCAGAGACAAGCCACGGGAGAAGAACAACAGGTACGTCGACCTTCCACTCCAGTGAAAACACTGTGGTATTGCGTGTGTAGTCGTCGACAAGCACTAGGAAGTAGCGTTCGCAACGCGGCCCATGGACGGGGGCGGGGCCCCAAACGTCCATGTGCAGGCAGCGGTGCAGAGGTGGGGGGGAACGAGGTGGAGTGAGGGGCATGGCGGAGCCGGCCCTCGACGTAGGGCGTGCACAGAGGCACGGGTGAAGAGGGGAGCTCAGTGAACGACTCAGGGAGACCTAGGACAAGATGGTGCTAGGACATGTGACGGAGACGGGTGAGAGCGGGGTGACCTAGACGGTGGTGCCATAGAAGCGACGGGTGAGTAAGCGACCGACACGAGCATGCCGCAGCAACCTAGGAAGACACTGCGACCTAGGGAGGCGTCCCAAGCGGGGGGGATGCGGTTTCAGCGTGAACATGCCAGACACTGGGTCCCGGGGGAACGTGGTGAGGGGGGCTCCAGTGGTGGCCTCAGTACAGACAGCGTACTGCTCGTGCCCAAGGAACGTAGTGGTGACGCCAAGGTCCTGGAGGCAGCCGGCACCAACTAGGTTCCTAGAGAACGAGGGGATGTGCAGGCCTGTAAGGGAGCCCAAGGGAACCGCCGGACAGGGGAGACTAGTGGAGCTACGGGCAACTACAGGACCGGAGGAAGGGTCTGCAAGAGCAACTGCAGCGGGAGCGGCAAGCGCGTAAGTGTTGTGGATTCGCGAAAGAAACACCATGAAGCGCCAGAGTCAAGGGTGAAGGAGAGCGCTGCAGTGGCGACGGAGGTCGGAGAAGCGAGGGAGGACCCAAGGCTAAACAAGGGAGGGGATCCTACGCCTGACGCAGCAGGGGAGCCGGAACTAGGCACACTGGGCACACCTACACTAGGCAACAGAGAGTTATAGGAACCAGTCACACTAAGTCATCAACAAACAGCACATACAAAGCACAGCTAATCTCATCCATGTCCATATCAAAGATCTGAACACCACGACGGACCAGACTATGCCAGTCAGGGAGGTCAGGCGACGGGCCGAAGCGGAGACAAAACAGGTCGTCTTTGCACCGGAAGCAACAAGTGGGGGTATGGCCGATCTTACTGCACACGAGGCCGCGGCGAGGACCGATCTGGAGCTGGTACTGGCAGTGCCCGTCACTCTGACCACCACCCGACGGCATGCCGCGCGCAAGACCACTACAACCACTGTCACCGCCGGCTCCATGCCACCTGGGGGGGAGACGGCCGACCCGCCGCCGTTGCTGCTGCTGCTGCGGCGGCTGCTGCTGCTGCTGCTGCGGGTGCTGTGGCTGCTGCTACTGCTGGTCTAGCGACGGCGCCTGCTGCTGCTGGGACTGCTGCTCCGAGGCACCAGCCCCAGCCCCCTCGTAAGTACTACCAGTGGGCGAGCCACTTCTACCACCGGCACCACCCCCTCCTCCGCTACCTCCGCCGCACCCAGCCTTCGGGCGGCGATCCTTACCCGGACGAAGCTGCACTGCGGCGGCTATCTCCACAGCCGAAGCTCTCTCAACAACCGCAGCAGAACCGTCGGAGTAAGCACACAGAGCAAGGGCACAGCCCTGAAGATAGAGACCGGCACGGTACCGCTAGACCGGGCGATAGAGCGCTGACGAGTCTCTACGGCATACAGGGTGTCAACAAAGTCAGTGAGGGTGAGGTCAGCGGGGTGGAGACTAAGGAAGTGATCGCTGGCGATGGCAAGGCGATCAGGGAGGCGAGTGGCAAGCAGGTAGAGGGTAGAGCAGATGGGGGGCTAAAACGCACGAATTTGGGCCTCAGTGCATCAGCGCGCCAGGTCGTGTCTAGCGTGCGCAGATGGGCGGCTACGTCACCGGCAGTAGGGAAAGTCGCGAGGTCAGGAAAGAGCAAGGGCAGGATGAGACGGCCTACGGATGGAGAGGGCGGGGTAGAATAGCGTGCAACAACAGCCTCTAGGAACTCCTGCGCAGTTGTGACCGACCTAAAGCGGGGGCGCTCGGACAGGGGGAGGGCATGACTAATCGCAAGCTGTGCGACAGCGTCACGCGACAACCAGACTGCACGGGTAAGGGCAGCGGACTCACGGTCAGCAGACGTGGGGTCAACGGGTAGAGCAGCAGGGGGGTCCGGGCAGGGGAGCATACCGTTGATGTGGACGGCCAGGGAGTGGCCATCCTGCCGCTTACCAGTCAGGTGTCGTTGGAGGTCGACGAGCCACGAGTCGAACTCAATCGGCTGCCCCTCCGCATCCAAATGCAGGATCGAGTCCGCCATCATGGTCGCTGCAGCAGCAGAAAGGCGGTGGGCAGTAGGGTGCGGCGAAAGCGGTGATGTGCGGTGCAGTGCTGCATAGTGCGGTAGAGGGAGGTGCAGTACGGAAGAGTGCGGTGCAGGGCGGTGCAATGTGGAGCAGTGCGGTGCAGAGCGGTGGAGTGCGGTGCAGTGCAGTGCAGAGCGGTGCAGAGCGCTGCGGTGCAGTATGGTGCAGTGCGGTGCAGAGCGGTGCAGTGCGGTACCGGGCAGTGCAATGCGGTGCCGGGCAGTGCAGCGCGGTGCAGAGGGCCGAGGAAAGCGGCGAGGCGTCGAGGAGACGGGGCCGTAGGCGGCGAGGCGACGGGGCCGGCTAGGCGTGGAGGTGATGGGGCCGGCTGGACTACGGGGCGGCTAGGCGACAGGGCGAGCAGCGGGACAGGGCGGTGGGGCCTCGGGGCCTGCTAGGCGACGAGGTCGGCTAGGAGGCGCGACCAGCTAGGAGACGGGACCGGCTGGGCGACGAGGCCGGCGAGGCGACGGGGCCGGCTGGGAGGCGGGGTCGGTTTGGAGGCGGGGTCGGCAAGTAGGAGGGGCCGGCTAGGAGACGGGGCCGGCTGGGCGACGGGGCCGGCTGGGCTACGAGGCCAGCGAGGCGACGGGGCCGGCTAGGAGGCGGGGTCGGCCAGGAGGCGGGGCCGTCTGGGCTACGGGGCCAGCTAGACAACGGGACCAGCTAGGCAACGGGGCCGGTCGAACGACGGGGCCGGCTAGGCGACGGGGCCGAATGGGCGACGGGGCTAGCTAGGAGGCGGGACCGGCTAGGAGGCGGGGCCGTCTGAGCTACGGGGCCGGCTAGGACGACGGGGCCGAGGGGGCGGCGGGGCCAGCTATGAGGCGGGGCCGACAGGGCCGTTTGGGCAGCGGGGCCTGCTAGGAGGCGGGGCCGGCTAGGCGACAGGGCGGGCTGGGCTACGGGGCCAGCTAGGCGACAGGGCCGGCTAGGCGACAGGGCTGGCTACGAGACGGGCCGGCACGTGCGGGAGGGGAACGGGGCGGCTAGGACCTAGGGTGGAAGCGTTAGTGGGCGGGGGGACCTACCTATTCATGATACCATATTGAAGTGAAAGAATGACTAGAATAGTGACATACAAGGGAATATAACCTAATGGGTCGTACTCCCTAAGGCACAACCCCATATAGTATATAACAACATATTAATATATGTTTTACAGTTTGTACTACTTCGAAACTACGCCAGATGTGCAACCTGGATTGGTCACCATTCTTGTCGATGTTCGCCTACCGTATCGATTTGTGTGTTTTAGCTGCGGGTTTTAATACATTCCAAGTCAAACTCTGGCCATGTATTCAGTATTGCACACTTGCAAAAATCAGACTATAAAAATACATGCATGGATGTAATTTAAATGGGCCATACCATTTCGGCTTGACATCTGAAATAATTAAGTTCTTACACACATACATTCCTTTCATAAATGCAAATACCATATTTGTATGGGTTATAATATTTTTGTACATTGAGTATACATCTGAGAAAAGTATTTACATTTATGAGGGTATTTAGTACGGATTATTTACAGAAGGATGCGTTTTCCACAGTACGTTAGGCACCTCCATGTTTGAGTGGGTGTATTGTTGAGTGAATGTTTTGACCCCTCTTGGATTCTTCAGCCAACCAACTGAATGTTTTGAAACAAATTCATTCTCTGGTGCATCTGGACAATTATCCTCGATATTGGGTGAAACATGGAGCTGGGATGGGATGTGGTGTGGTGGCGGTGAGGTGTGCGGTCAGGTCAATCGGTTTCCTGAGGGCGTGGTACGAACGGTTTCGACATCGGTCAGAATGGTACAGTGAGGTTTTTCACGGTTTGTCATATTTCGGTGGGATACTTTGGTGGGACTTCGGACAACGGCCGTTTGGAACTGGTACAACGCCCTAGCTCAGCTGCACCTCCTTCTGCTGGTGCTTGGCCCAGCGAGGGAATGACGAAAAGCTTTCTTTTTTTTTTGTTTCGAATTTCTTCCGTAGTGACATATCCGCGCCCCCCTGCTCGAGCTCGACTCCAATTCCTTTTGGAGGAAACATCCACGAGGGAGAATTCACACTTTCGGACTGCTGTGACACTTACGGGAAGGAAAAAACAAATCCCATAGGGTCCCGCATATCATTCGGGTGGCATCAACCCTAAACTCCCACCCGGTTGTGAGACTTTAAGGTTGATGCCACCCGAAATGGCATGCGGTGCCACTAAGGGTTTAATGAGTTTTCAACTGTAACTGTAACAGCGTCCGGAATAAAGCAGAACTGCATGTGTTAAAACAACCTGGCTTGATTTTTCCTCCAGAAGGAATTGGGGTCGTGCTCGAGCAGGGGGGCGCGGATTTGTCACTCCGAAGGGAATTCGAGACAAGAAAGCAATGTTTTTTGTCATTCCCTCTGGCCCAACGCTGGGGCTGGAATGTCGGACAGGAAATGTCAAGAATTGGGAGGTGGTGTATCCCAGTGATGGTGCTTCTCTTGCCTTGCTCTCACCAGCCACGCCATTCACCAAGCTGACTGCTGTTTTTGTTGCGCGCGAACTCAAAGAGCCTTTGGCATGTCGCCTGCGCTATCGCTCACAATTTTCCTCTCGTAGTATCATCGTGGTTTACCCGCCGCACCTCCTCTCTCCTCATCTCGCCTACTCCCTCACCCCATCTCTCCGCCGCGTCTCTCCGCTTCGCATTCCCCACGGCGCATCTTTCGCTCCCCATTCCCTAGCCCGTAGTCCCCTAGTCCCCTACCCGCGACCCCTCCGCCATGTCGTGGTTCCGCTCGGCGCTGAGCATCGGCGCGGAGGCCGCGAATGCGGGTGGCAAGGCGGTGGGGACGGGGTTCGTGCGCGCGAGCTCGTTCGCGTCGTCCGTAGTGCAGCGCGCCGGCGACGCCGTGCTGCTGGCGGGCGACGCCGTGGAGCACGGCGCCAAGATGGTGTACGAGCACGCCGAGCACGCCGTGGTGCGTCCAACCGTACACTGCCCAGGCTGGCAGGGGGAACGGGGGTCGGGGGGAACGGGGGGTGGGGAGGGGAGAGGGCGTGCTTAGGTGCGACGGTGGTGTGCGAGCACGCTGTGGTGGGTGCGGCCATTGTTGGTTAGCGACGGAGGTCGTTGGAGGGACTTCGGTGATCTCCGCTCCTGAGAGCAGCGCAACGCACATTGTTCTCCACTGCTCTGCCGGCCCTTTTCCGCCATGCGCGCATGTAGTGGATGGGGCGCGAGTTCCCGCGTCCTCATCCACCTCATCCATTTCCCCTTCCTCTCTCCCCCGCCCCCTCCCCTCCTCCTCTCCTACCCCCGACCGCCCGCCCCCGTCACCCCTCCCAGGGCGGCACGTCCGCGCGGCAGCATAACAGCTTCCGCCACGCGGTGCGGCGCATAGAGGAGGTGGCGATGCTGGCGCGCGGGGCGGAGCGCAAGGAGGCGCTGCTGCGCTGGCTGGGCGCGCTGGCGGACATCAGCGCGGAGAGCGAGCAGGCGGAGCAGGGGGAGAAGGAGCTGGCGGCGCTGCAGCAGCTGGGGATGGGGCTCGCGCTGGGGGGGGACGGCGCGGGGGGGGGTGGGAGCAACGGAGGAGGGGGGAAGGGGAAGAGTGAGTCAGAGGAAGGGGGGGCGGGAGAGGCAGTGGCGGCAGATGAGGGCGCTGGGGAGGCGGGGGAGGTCGCAGAGGAGAGTGCAGCGGTGAACAAGGCCGAGGCGACTGGACCGCCTGCTGCCGCTCATGGTGGTGGCGGTGGCGGTGGAGGTGGCGGTGCTGCTGCTGCTGCTGCTGCTGCTGCTGGCAGTGACGGCGGTGTGAGGGAGGGCGTGGCGCCCCCCTCCGCGTCACCGCAGCACCACCCTCTGCCCTCCCCGCGCACCCAGGCGAAGATGTCTCGGGTGAGAGGCCCTGCTGTGCGTCACCTGGCATTGTCCTGGTTGCTGTTCTTGTTGCTCTTGCGCTGAGGCTGCCCTGGCCCCTGCGCCCTGCCTTGCCCCCTGTCCAGTCCCCCCCGGCCCCGATCCTACCCTGCCCCCCGTCCCCCCCCAGGTGTTGTTCCACGACCCCAACGCGCCCCACCAGGCGCTCACCTTCCGCGATGTCTTTCTCCACAGCCAGGCGCTGGAGAACGTGGTGGCGTCGCTGGTGAGAGCATGGGGGCGTCGCTGGTGAGATGACGGGCAAAATGAGATTGGGGGGGCAGTGGGTGGGAGAGGTGGGGGGTGGAGAGGGGGGGGGGGGAATTGGAAGGAAGGGGCGGTGAGGGTTGTATTTTGGGCTGGAACAAGTACCGCGTAACAAAACAGGCGGATTTCTGAGAGCAGTGTGTCGGAGAAGAGTTGAAAGTGGCCCAATATCACGGCTGCGTGGGCTGCATGCAAGAGCCGTGGCAGGCTGTAGTGTTGCCGCTGGTGCTCATGCTCACATCTCCATGACAGGAACCTCCTTGCTTGCGCAGCACGTGTGGTTTCACACCCCCATGCTTAGCGCAGCCCCATGAACACCGTGCCACCCTATGCCAATGCATGTGCCTGTGCCTGTGCATGTGCCTGTGCTTGTGCATGTGCCTGTGCCTGTGCATGTGCATGTGCCTGTGTCTGTGCATGTGCGTGTGCATGTGCATGTGCATGTGCATGTGCATGTGCATGTGCATGTGCGTGTGCGTATGCATGTACATGTGTATGTGCATACGCGTGTGAATGTGCATATGCGTGTGAATGTGCACGTGCCCGAGCGTGTGTTTGTGCGTGTGCATGCGCATGTGCATGTGAATCTGCTTTTGCATGTGCATGTGTATGTGCATACACATGTGAATATGCATGTGCGTGTGCGTGTGCGTTTGCGTGTGCATGTGTATGTGCATACATGTGTGAATATGCATGTGCATGTGCATGTGCGTCTATGCCCCGCACGGCAGGTAATGGACCCGGGTGATGACGAGGAGTACTGGCTGCTCAGGAACCTCTTCAGGTGCTCTCCTCGCTCTTTGCTTACCCTCCTCCCTTTTGCGCCCCAGAATCCCGGACATAATTCCAGTGAGCGCAGTTAGGAAGGCGGTTTAGCAAGTAGGAAAGACAGTTGTAAAAACGCTATGCTTATGTAACCAAGAGTTTTAGGAAAGCAGGAGCTCTTCTCTTAACAGCGAAGTTAACATGGGGCAAACGTGTTTCGGCTTGTAGGGAAATCCCTAGCGAGCCTTCATCAGTGCCAATGAGAACGTGCGAGCAAAGCAAAGCCCCTAAGTAGAAGGTAAGCATCCAACAAACTGAACTCTAGGTTATCTTCACCCTAGTCAACCCAAAAGTTTCGGGGACCAATCCAGGCCATCCTGGTGAAAAACCGAGGGGGCACATCTTCAATCCTCGAGGGTGTCTTGAAAAGTAGTTGGGCTCGAACCTTCGCCAATGGGCAGCTTCGGAAGCCGAGCGCGCACCAATCGCTTTGATAAGCTACACCCAATCTTCCAAGCAACAAACATTCTCTCTATAAAAAATCCATGCGTGAGGAGTATATTTTTGAGGTGCCTCAAAATGACCCCTAGTCGGAGACGAGCAGTCCATGGAGTGAACTCCGCCTTCAGAATAAGGGGCCCGCAGGAAGAGAGAGATTACTGTTGCTTGCGTAACTGGTTGGTGGCGATGTTGGCGAGGAGTTCGGGCCGATGAGCGAAGATGACACTCTTGAAGAGTGGGTGCAGAAAAATCGGCGGGTAACCGCGGTCACGAAGTCAATGGAAGAAGGCAAACTTCGTTGCGAGGAAGGTCGTTGCTGAGGTCGAGCGAAGTAGATACCGCTTCAGCTAGTACGAATGAAACCTTCCTTACAGTGACGCAGGTGGATGGAAGGAGGAAAAAGGAAGATAAGTGATACTTGTTCATCGGCTTTTGGAAATTGCCCCTTGAAAAGGACCATGTCGAGGAAATCCGTAGAGCTGTCCGAAACATTCCAAGTGATCCGTATGTTAGGATCGAGCGCGTTGAAGGTAAGCAGGTAGTCCTCCAGTTCTGCCCGCGTCCCTGGCCAGATGATAAGGCCATCGTCGATGTAGCGCACGTGGTAGAGAGGTTTAGTTCCGGTTCATCTTTCTTTCAGCAGCTCGTCCAAACGACTCATGAAAAGAACCGCGAAGCACACACTGACGGGAGTTCCCATAGGTGTACCGCGTATCTGCTTGTAGATCTTGCCATCGAACTCCACGTAGGAGTTCCTCATGACCCAACCTAGGAGAGCCATGAGTGGTTGAGCGTGTAGAGGGTCTTCTCTCGGAAGGAAACAGCCGACCGCATCGAGTCCTCGTTCAATGGCGATCCTGGGGTAGAGCGAGGTAACGTCGTAAGTCGCGAGAAGGACATTCGGGGGAAACGAAGTCCGTTCCAGCGTAGTCAGCATAGAGAGGGAATCACGGAGGTAAGTAGGTCGCTTAAGGACGAGCGGTCGAAGTTCAGCGTCCAGCCATCTGCTCACATTCGTCGTCACCCAGGAGTGAGGCGGCGATCGGACGCCCCACGGGTTTCCAACTGGGGTTCCGCACCTGAAAGCGCGAAGAGCCAGAAGGTCCCCCTTTATCCTTGAAGAAAAAATGAAGGGAAACCTGTCGATGCAGTTGATCGAGAGCCGCTTCAACAGGAGGGTTCCAGGCAGGAGTAGGAACGAACTTCAAACCCAACCCGAGTGCCTTCCGCTCATCGGATGTAAGAGCTTTGGCACTCAGGTTATGCACCCCGAGGTTACGGACGCGAGACATGGCTTGGCGAACTGTCAAGCGGCCGTACCAACAGAGCGCGAGATCGTGAGCCGTTACTTCTTCTTTGGCGACCCTTTTGCGGGGCCGCCACCGCCGTTTTTTGGAACCCAGGCTTGCTTTGAGGTCGACGTCGTATCTAGGCCCTTCCCCTTGCTGTCTTTCGGAGTTCCGGCTCGCGTCTTATTTTTACCACCACGCTTCTTCTTAGCCTTCTTCGATGAAGTCGGCTTCGGATTAACGGCAGCTGTGGTCGGCGTAGCTCCCTGCGCCTCCAAGAACATCTTCTTCAGCTGTGATGATAGGGAAGAGAGAAGCTCCGCTTTGACTTCAGCCTTGACTTCCTTGTGGAGCTCCGCCCTCGCCTTCTGAACCAGCTTCTGAGTGATCTCGTTGAACGCCGGACCTGGTTCCATGCCGTCCATCTCCTCGGCGGCAGCAGCTTTCTTCAAATCCTCGACTTCACGGGTCCTCTGCTTCAGCAGCGCCTGGACTTTTATGTCGTCCTTGGCGGTGGCGATGTTGGCCTGAGCTTTGTTGATGCACTGTCCCTTGATCTTCCGGAACTTTTCCTTGGCGACATCATAGATCACCAAGTCAGGGACTGCCGTCAGGCCCTTGATGTGGTCTTCGATCTTTGCCGCCAGAGCCGTGAGGTGTGAGTGGGATGCCGTAAGAATCTCTTGAACCTCCATTTCCTTCGACTTGATGAAATCGGCTTGAATGCGCTGCTGGTATTCACGGTGGATTGCAGCAACGGAGGCTTCAAACTTCTCTCGCACGGTCGCGAACTTCGTCTGAAACTCGACAACCTTAGTGCGAATACTGTGAAGTATCACACCCTGACTGTCGAGCGCCTTCATTTTCTTCAACTTCGACTTCGCCTTCAGGTAGGATCTGTAGTCGTTACGAAAATCCCTGACAGCCGTCGCAGTCCAACCTTTAAAAGGTTCAGGAAGTGGTGTAGACTGGTCAACGACGGCGGTCGGATTGGAGCTCGACGCCACCGCTGGGGCGACAGCCGGAGCACCAATCGGATCGGCTTCAGGTTCCATGTCGGGAGGAGATTCTTCTTGCTTGTCTTGCTTCGAAGTGTCGCGAGTGTCAGCAGATTCAGCTTCCTTGAGAGAGCGGAGTCGCTTGGACTTTCGCCGATAAATCCTCTCGGGGCTGTCTGTCTCGCGTAAAACGATTACGAGCCTCCCGTCTTCTGCACCGGCGTCTTCTGGAGTAAGCGTAGGTGTAAACAGATCTCCGGACATAATTCCAGTGAGCGCAGTTAGGAAGGCAGTTTAGGAAAGACAGTTGTAAAAACGCTATGCTTATGTAACCAAGAGTTTTAGGAAAGCAGGAGCTCTTCTCTTAACAGCGAAGTTAACATGGGACAAACATGTTTCGGCTTGTAGGGAAATCCCTAGCGGGCCTTCATCAGTGCCAATGAGAAAGTGCGAGCAAAGCAAAGCCCCTAAGTAGAAGCTAAGCATCCAACAAACTGAACTCTAGGTTATCTTCACGCTGGTCAACCCAAAAATTTCGGGGACCAATCCAGGCCATCCTGGTGAAAAACCGAGGGGCCACGTCTTCAATCCTCGAGGGTGTCTTGAAAAGTCGTTGGGCTCGAACCTTCGCCAATGGGCAGCTTCGGAAGCCGAGCGCGCACCAGTCGCTTTGATAAGCTACACCCAATCTTCCAAGCAACAAACATTCTCTCTATAAAAATATCCATGCGTGAGGAGTCTATTTTTGAGGCGCCTAAATAATAGCAACCTCTTCAGGTGCTCTCCACGCGCTGTGCTCACCCTCCTCCCTTTTGCGCCCAAGAATCCCCTCTCACCGCTCTCGGATCCGCTCCTGCATATCTGCAGTGATCACAAGCCCCCCATGTGGCAAAATCCACGGTCCTTCTTCCGCCCCTTTGCAAACGATGGGTGCTCCGGATTTCACGTGTGCCATCAACCCTCGATTTGCCATGACCCCACATGGGCCATCCATCGCTACTCCGTGTGCTCCATCCCATCCCGTGTGTTGCCACGCCCTCCGTCGTGCTCACCTCGTCCCTTATGTTCCACTGCGTTTCGCATTCGTATCTCTCCCCATTCCACCCCATCGCATGCCATCCTATCCCCCCCTGCCGCCAGGCTGTGCCTGTCGCTGCCGCACGAGGACCAGGACACGCTGCTCGCCACGCTGCACTCGCTCGCCCACGCCGCTGAGTCCTACGCTGAAGTCAAGGTCACGCCGCCCTCCTCTCCCTCAAGCCCACTCCTTCCCCTCCTCTCCCTCAAGCCCACTCCTTCCCCTCCTCTCCCTCAAGCCCACTCCTTCCCCTCCTCTCCCTCAAGCCCACTCCTTCCCCTCCTCTCCCTCAAGCCCACTCCTTCCCCTCCTCTCCCTCAAGCCCACTCCTTCCCCTCCTCTCCCTCAAGCCCACTCCTTCCCCTCCTCTCCCTCAAGCCCACTCCTTCCCCTCCTCTCCCTCAAGCCCACTCCTTCCCCTCCTCTCCTTCACGCGTCCCCTGGGCCTGCTGCTGCTGCGTAGCACGAGGGGCACTCATCCCCGCGCCTTCCCTCTGCCTCTACTGCCTCTAACTGCCTCAACTGCCTCAACTGCCTCAACTGCCTCTACTGCCTCTACTGCCTCTAACTGCCTCTAACTGCCTCTACTGCCTCAACTGCCTCAACTGCCTCTACTGCCTCTACTGCCTCTAACTGCCTCTAACTGCCTCTACTGCCTCAACTGCCTCAACTGCCTCTACTGCCTCTACTGCCTCTACGGCCGTGAGAATCCCTCATTCTTTCAAGCCACACGGCAAGGCGCATGTGAGGGGGAGGGGAGGTAGTGCCCCTCCTCGTTCCATCACCCTCCCCTTCTCCAATCCGCCTCACTCTCCTTCCCCCCCCACACACTCTTCCCCCCCCCCCCCCCTGCAGCTGTCGGGCGACGAGTTGGAGCGGTTTGTGGCGGAGGCCATCACGGGGCTGAAGGCCAGCCCCGAGGCGGAGCGCGTGGACGCCGAGGCGCGGCGCCTGGAGCGCGCTGTGGCGCAGGGGCTGGCCATGGTGCAGGCCGCCAGTGCGCTGGAGGCAACTGACGAGGGCGAGGCGGCCGAAGGAGTTGGGGTGGAGGTGGAGGGGAGAAAAGGGGAGGAGGGTGGGGAAGGGGCAGGGGGAGAGCAAGCAGAGGGCGAGGAGGGGGTGGTGGAAGCGGAGAAAACGGAGGGGAAAGAGGGAGCAGCGGAGAGGGCTCTGGAGGCGGAGAGGGCGGTGGACGAGGTGCTGGCGGTGCAGGGGCAGGAGGTGCAGGCCGTACGCAGCCGGGAGGTGCTGCGCGCCGCACTGCGCCTGGTGGCTCTGGAGCGGAGGAGAGAGGCGCTGCTGCAGCAGGGGGACACGCCGGGGGACAGGGCGCTCAAGGTGAGGGCAGGGCGCTCAAGGTGAGGGCAGGGCGCTCAAGGTGCGAGGGGCTCTGTGGGAGGGCAAGTGCTATTGATCCTGGGGCGAATGAGTCATGGCAGTGATGTAGCGACCTGCAACACGGCCCATTCAGGAATAGCCATTCGGAGAAAAGTAGGGGTTCAATCACAAGTTAACAGCAATGGCTGTACCGCTACTGCTGTGGAGGCGTTTGACATGCACGAGGGAGGTGTTGACATGCACGAGGGAGATGTTGACATGCACGAGGGAGATGTTGACATGCATGAGGGAGATGTTGACATGCATGAGGGAGATGTTGACATGCATGAGGGAGATGTTGACATGCACGAGGGAGATGTTGACATGCACGAGGGAGGCGTTAGAGACGCCATGTGATGGTACTGCCATGATGCCATTGTGTGGGCACTCATTTCCTCGTGGCGTCATACTGCCTCACAGCATGGTACGGCGCCACCATCTCTTGTGCTCTCCTGTCCTTTCGCTGCCGTGGTGCCCGTGCGCTGCGCTGCGCTGCCCTCTCCTGGCAGGTGGAGCGCGTGACGTCGCTGGCAGCGGAGCTGGGCGAGGGCGTGGCGGCGCTGAGGGCGCAGATGGCGGAGTGCACGCAGCAGAGGGCCGACGCGCTGGCCTACCGCACCGCCAAGTCGCAGGAGGCTGCTGATGCCGACTCTGTAAGTGACATGTGCTACTTTCCTGTTGCCCCAGCTGGTGTTGCGACACTTGGCCTTGAGGGTGCAGCAGATGGCGGGGTGCCGGCAGCAGAAGCAGGATGCCCTCGCCCACTGCCCCGCCAAGTTACAGGAGGCTGCTGACTGCAATTTCCTAATGTGTTGCGATTCTGCCAGTGCCACCTCCCTCCTGCTCCACCTCATTCACACTTGGCATTGACACTTGGCATTGGCACTTGGCATTGACACTTGGCATTGGCGCTTGGCATTGACGCTTGGCATTGACACTTGGCATTGGCACTTGGCATTGACGCTTGGCATTGGCGCTTGGCATTGGCGCTTGGCATTGACACTTGGCATTGACACTTGGCATTGACACTTGGCATTGGTGCTTGGCATTGGCGCTTGGCATTGGCGCTTGGCATTGGCGCCTGGCATTGGCGCTTGGCATTGGCGCTTGGCATTGGCGCTTGTGCGAAGGCCATCCGTTCCACCAGAATGAGCTCCAGCGGCCATGGCCCATGTGCACTTGCAGGGGCCGGCTCCGAGTGAGGCGACTGCCCTGTGCCCTGTGCCCTGCGCCCTGTGCCCTGTGACCTGCATCACCACCCATCCGCCTCCTCCACCCTCAATCATCCTCGCCTCTACATCCTCTTCCCTCGCTCGCAACCATTGTTCTTCATCCCCTCTCACGCCTCCCCATGTCACCTTTTGCTTTGCAGGTGGGGGAGATGGAGATGGTGTGGAGCAGAAGAGGAAGGTGCAGGTGGAAGAAACATCCGTGCATTTGAGTTTTGCCCTCATCCCTTCCCTCGCCTCCTTCACTGCGCGCTGTGCTGGCAGGTGGTGGACCGCGAGATGGCGGCACTGCAGAAGAGAAAGGCCGAGCTGCAGGAGGAGCTGAGCAAGGTGAGGAGGAGCTGAGCAAGGTGAGGAGGAGCTGAGCAAGGTGAGGAGGAGCTGAGCACGGTGAGGAGGAGCTGAGCACGGTGAGGAGGAGCTGAGCAAGGTGAGGAGGAGCTGAGCTCGGTGAGGAGGAGCTGAGCAAGGTGAGGAGGAGCTGAGCAAGGTGAGGAGGAGCTGAGCAAGGTGAGGAGGAGCTGAGCACGGTGAGGAGGAGCTGAGCACGGTGACGAGGAGCTGAGCAAGGTGAGGAGGAGCTGAGCACGGTGAGGAGGAGCTGAGCACGGTGACGAGGAGCTGAGCAAGGTGAGGAGGAGCTGAGCACGGTGAGGAGGAGCTGAGCAAGGTGAGGAGGAGCTGAGTGTTAGAATATTCTCCCTTCATTCTATTAGCCTACATCGTTTCATTGTCTTAGGTACCTATAAGCACCCCACCAGGGTGTATACACCCAAGTTGGGGGTTGGGTTCCCAAATTGGTTGGGCTCCCAATTATTGGAACCCCCAATAATCCCAACCAAGATTATTGGACCCACCAATAATCTTGGCTAGGATTATTGGACCCCCAATAAGTTGGCCCACTCAACTTATTGGGGTCCCCAATAATCGTGGTCACCTCCCTACCAAACCCCCCTCCTGCTCCTCACCTATGTATACCCGCTCCTTTCCTAATTCAATCATCACTTCAGTTTCTCACACTGAGCACGGTGAGGAGGAGCTGTGCAAGAGCGTGTTCCGGCTGTGCTCTTATAGCAACGACAGTGGATTGTCACTCAAACAGCAATACCACTGTTGACACCTCGCCTCGTTTACCCCCAACGCTGTGAACCCCTACTTTCCCAACAGGTGCAGAGCGCGATTGACAGTGTGAGTAAGAAGCAGGGGAAGGCGCGCGAGGAGAAGGAGCAGTTCAGCATGGCGAGCAGCAGCATCGTCAGCCACCTCACCGCCCAGGTACCTCACCGCCCATATACCTCACCACCCAGGTACCTCACCGCCCAGGTACCTCACCGCCCAGGTACCTCACTGCTCTGCAGCTCTCATGGACTGCCGTAACCAGCCGCACTGCTGTGGCGCGGTAACCACCAGCTGAGCAGGTCAGGTGGAGCCCTTCAGTCTGGTTGAAGCAGCCACACCCCAGCTCATATAACGCCGCACCCACGCCCAACTCTCTTCTCCTCTGCTGTGTCCCCCTCGCACCGCCCGCGCGTGCGCATGGCGGCATGGCATGCACCCCTTGTTGCGACGGCGTGGCAGGAGGCGCGGCTGAGTGCGTCGGTGGCGGAGCACGAGGGCGACAGCAGGGCGCTGGACGAGTGGCGCAAGTTCCTGCAGACCACGTGGCAGCTGCAGTCAGCTGCCGTGGAGGCGCAGGAGAAAAAACTCAAGTGAGTGGGGGAGCGAAGAGCATAGCGTCACAAGAGTCCTGCCTTGAGTGCTCCGTCCTGCCGTGAGTGCTCCGTCATGCCTCGTGCCTTGCTGCCAGTAGTAATGGATCTCCTCTTGTCTCGTCCATTTTCTCCTCTTGTCTCCTCCATTCTCTCCTCTCTCAACTCCCTTTCTATCAACCCAGTATTGTTGTCATTTCTCACCTGGCCACCAAGTGATTGCAATTCTTCCCTGCCCCGTTCTCTCTGCGTCCATGCATGGCTGCGTGGTGCAGGGAGGAGGCAGCAGCCCGCAGGGACCGACTCTTTGCGGCTGCCACGTCGCATCTGCACCTCTGCCAGGTAGATGGCTCAGGTGGGCGGCTCAGGTGGGCGACTGGCAGGAGCGTGGTTCAGGTGGGTGTTCAGGTGGGTGTTCAGGTGGTTAATTGCTTGTTATTTTCCATCCATCCAATACCCCGATATGCAGTTTGCTGTTGTATAGCCACTCTGCTAACTGCTGCTCCGTGTTACTCCATCCGTTCACTTCAAACCCCAACCTGTCCCACCCTCACTCGCCCCTGCGTTGATCACCACAGTCCCAGGTGGAGTCGTGTTGGGGCAAGGCCAAGGCGCTGGCGGAGAAGCTCAGCAGCATCCACGACAAGAGGTCGGTGCCGCTGCGCTGCCATGCTCCCGACTGCTCTCCTGTTCCGCGCGCACCCGCAGCTGCACCATTCCCCCTTCCTCCTTGCATTCTCTATGCTGCATGTGTGGCGCGTGACGCCTTCCCCTGTGTGTCTGCCTCTGCCTCTACTCTGTCCATGCGTCTGTCCATGCCTCTGTCCATGCCTCTGTCCATGCCTCTGTCCATGCGTCTGTCCATGCCTCTGTCCATGCGTCTGTCCATGCGTCTGTCCATGCGTCTGTCCATGCCTCTGTCCATGCCTCTGTCCATGCCTCTGTCCATGCCTCTGTCCATGCCTCTGTCCATGCCTCTGTCCATGCCTCTGTCCATGCCTCTGTCCATGCCTCTGTCCATGCCTCTGTCCATGCCTCTGTCCATGCCTCTGTCCATGCCTCTGTCCATGCCTCTGTCCATGCCTCTGTCCATGCCTCTGTCCATGCCTCTGTCCACTGTCCATGCCTCTGTCCATGCCTCTGTCCATGCCTCTGTCCATGCCTCTGTCCATGCGTCTGTCCATGCGTCTGCCCATGCCTCTGCCGCATTACCCATGTGTGCCTCACACAGGCCGGCAGTGAGTGGAAGCGCCACAGATGTAGCGGACGCCCACAATTCTTCCTCACTCCACTGCCTCAGCTGTCCCCCCTCTCGCACTCTCTCCCTAACTTCCCACCTCGCTCGCCGCCTCTCCCCCGCACCCCGCAGGGCGGCCATGACGGCTGACGGCACGGACGCGGTGGTGGCGGACATCTCGCTGCGCCGCATCCACTGGGAGCAGAAGTTCATCGCCGCTGAGATGCAGGTGTGCTTACATCCAGGTGCGTGCAGGTGCGCGGCACGTGCAGGTGCGCGGCACGTGCTGGTGCGCGGCACGGGCAGGTGCGCGGCACGTGCAGGTGCGCGGCACGTGCAGGTGCGCGGCACGTGCAGGTGCGCGGCACGTGCAGGTGCGCGGCACGTGCAGGTGCGCGGCACGGGCAGGTGCGCGGCACGGGCAGGTGCGGGGCACGTGGAGGTGCGGAGGAGACATGAATGTGGGGGGGACATGCAGGTGGGGGGGACATGAAGGTGGGGGGGACATGCAGGTGGGGGGGACATGCAGGTGGGGGGACATGCAGGTGGGGGGACATGCAGGTGGGGGGACATGCAGGTGGGGGGGACATGCAGGTGGGGGGACATGCAGGTGGGGGGACATGCAGGTGGGGGGACATGCAGGTGGGGGGTGACGTGCAGGTGGGGGGTGACGTGCTAGTGCAGAGGCATGGGAGGCTGAGGTGTGGGTGAGATCCAGGTGCGCGAGCATGGCACGCACTAGCATGGCACGCACTAGCATGGCACGCACTAGCATGGCACGCACTAGCATGGCACGCACTAGCATGGCACGCACTAGCATGGCACGCACTAGCATGGCACGCACTAGCATGGCATACAGTTGGGGGTGGGATGGAAGGGGTGTTGGCAGGATAAGTGGGGCATGTTGAGGCGGTGCAGCGCAGAGTGATGATTCAAGCTGCTGCAGTCAGCAGCACGAGAGAAAGGCGTAGCCTCACACCAAGGCTCTGGCGCTCCCCTTGCCATCATGTGTGTGGAGTGGCCAGCACCACCTGCGCTGCGCCTGCCCGTCCGCTGCTGCATGTGGGGCGCTCCCACCTCCCAGTGCATTGCGGGCTGCACTCGCTGTGCCCTCTGCTCAACCCGTTCATTTGTTTCAGTCCAATCGACTTCTGACGATTTCATCCGTCCTTCATTCATGCTCATCTATGCATGCCATGCATTCACCATACATCCCAAACTCTGTTGTGCTGCATTCATGGTAAAAACGCGATGCGATGCGATATCGCATCGCATTCTTTCTTATCGCGCATTATATCGCAGCGATGCGATATCGCATCGCTGCGATATGTTAAAAAAAACCGAAATCGCATATCGCGTTTTAGGGGGCGATATTTAAAAATATCGCCTAAAAAAAACGATGCATCGCGCGATGCGATATAATATCGCATCACATTTAGGGGTCACTGTTTTCCCGCCCTAAAAAACGTGTTCCCACACCAAAGGGCACGACAACGGTGGCTCTCCTAGTTCACGCAGAATTAGGTAAGTGAATTGACGGGAGATGGGAATATCGTGGTCCCTCTCTCATGTGGAGCATGTTGGAGGGGAAGGGGTTGGATTCTGTAGATGTAGGGGAGTTAAGTGCGGTTGAAGTGGTGGAAATTGGTTGGAGTTCCAACCAATTGACTTTGGGGGTCGAGATTTCAGTCCAACCCCCTAAATCCCTTCAACCGCACACCACCACATCCCATCCAGAAAACCCACTCGCCCACCACCCACCACCAACCATAACAAATTTGAACCCCCACCAAACTCCCCTCCCTCAACCACACTGCACTCCTTCCCATCTAGAATCTCCAACCCTTCCTCCAATGTGCTCCAAGCTCTGCTCCTCACACAAACTCCTCCCCCCCAAACTGCCGCTTGCCATTTCTGCGCGCCATTCAGCAAGAGAAACCTAGACTAGCTTACTATCTATTTTCGCTAAGTTCAGGGCCCTCGCCCATGTCCCTCCCCTTGCTGGCGAAATTCCGCGACGCGAAACGAGAAAGTATCGCGCGCTATATCTTTTTATCGCTTATCGCATTTTATCGCGCAAAGAATAGCGCGATAAAAATGCGATATCGCAAATATCGCGCGATATTATCGCATCGCATTGCCGCGATATTCTTTTTAAAAAAAAAGTTAAATCGCTATCGCTAAATGCGATATAACGCGATGCGATATATCGCGATGCGATGCGATTTAACCATGTCTATGTGCTGTGCCATGCCATACTGTGCCGTCCCATGCTGTGCGCCATGCCATACTGTGCCGTCCCATGCTGTGCGCCATGCCATGCCATGCGCAGGTGAGGCGGTGCATGGGGGAGGCGGAGCTGGCGCTGAAGGAGGTGCGCGCGTGGATGGACTCGCTGCCATCGCCCTCCACGTACGCCCTGCTGCTTCTCTCCGCCTGCCATTGCTGTCACTCCACCCGCATCGCATCGCCTTCAAATGTTCACTGTTCTCCAGCTCTCATACAACTCTTTCTGGTTCTCCCCCATTGGTGCCTTGGTTGTACCCTCACAGCCTGCCACCTCGTTCTCCCCTGTCTTGCCTCCTTGCCCCACGTCTGTCCTCCCTCTACTTCAGTCACACCTTCACCTTGCTTGCATGCACGCCGACACGTTTCCAACACATCCACACGTTTCCACCCCTCCTCCCCCCCCAACCCCACAAAGCGAGGACGCCTCTCGGCTGCACTCGCTGCGTGTGCTGGGCCTGGAGCTCGACGCCCTCATTGCTGACATCCGCGCCGCACCGCGCCCCGTGCTCGCCATCGACCACCCCTCCGTGCTGCGCGTGCCCCGCATCGCCACACCCGCCGCCTCCGCCGCTGCAGCCCCTGCCCCCACAGCAGCACCTCCCCTGGGCGCCACCTTCCCCGCCGCTGTTGTCATCGCCCCTGTGGGCAACCCCTCCGCCTCGGCAGCAGCAGGTGCACCTGCCGTAGGGGTGGCAGGGGCGCGCCGCCCCTTCAAGCCGTTGCTGCAGATCGGAGGGGATGCAGGAGGCGGCATGGGCGGCGGGGCGCCGGAGTCGCCGGAGGACGGGGCGCCGATGACCCCGTTTGTGATCTCGGGGGGCATGAGGCGGCCGCAGGGCGGTGGATTCCGGGACGAGCAAGGGCGGCTGCGACGGCCTGGGAGGAAGCCGGGCGTGGCATCCATCGCAGAGGGGTTGGAGGGGACGGGTGCGGGGGACAAGGGGGGTGGGGAGGGGGGGCGAGGTAGCAGTGAGGGCGAGCAGGTGGAGGGGGTGGTGGCTGATGGGGGCAATGAGACAGGGGCAGCTGAGAAGGTTGATGCTCAGGCTGAAGGGAAGGAAGGCAATGAGGATAGGAAGGAGGTTACTTGGTGACAAGGTTTTTGTACAACTAACATGGGTTTTCCTAGCTTGTGGTCTTTTTGCATTTACACCTTTTGCTTAATTTCATTATTTATTCTGTAACACATTGTTATTATGCTAGCCGCCACACCCACAACAAGCTCTGATTTACGTACCCTATTTGCCCGGATATAGCACTACGTGGTCTTATATCGTTTTAGGGGCAATTTAAGGATTGTGACACGACCTCAGAGGAGTGTGCAGTGCAGTCGTCATAGGTCGTCGGCGGTGGCGCTCGAGGGTGGCCTGGTATTGATCGGTCGCGCTCGAGCGAGTAGGATCTTGTAGCGCGCGAGAAGCAGCCACTAGCTCGCGGTCAAGCTGAGTAATGTAAAGCTCCTTGGCTGTATCACTTCGCCAGCGACCTAGGGCCTTGAAAAGCCGGTCGGGGACTCCAATATCAACGGCGACCGTCGCAGCCGCCTTGCGGAAAGAATGGGTGCCCAGGAGGGCCGGGTTAAGGCCTACACGGGAGAAAGCATCTCGACACCAACCCCGAATGGCGGCGTACGAGGGAGAGCGATCTGAGGGGGAAGCTCGGGCACCCGGCTGAAATATACGAATAAGGGGGCCAAGGGTCCGCGGAGAATAGCCAGCCAGGAAGAGGAATTGTTGGACACGCGACACCGGACAGTGGCGGGCAGAAGAAGCAGCCACTGGGACCCAAACACCGGTGCCAGCTTGGTCGGTCTTCGAACGAGGGATGAACAACCACATGCAGTCCCGATCGAACTCGATCTGGTGCCACTGGAGGGAGACGAGATCAGAGAAACGAAGGAAGGCTGCGAACATGAGGAGGGGAATAAGGCCCCGCTGGAATGTGGCCGGATCATGCGATGAGAAGTAGATGTCACAGATATCGTAAATCTTGGCTGGAGGAATGGGCTCCTTAGCTTGAGATGGCTTGCCACAATGACGCATGGCATAATCCTTGACTTGCGAAGAAAAGGGGCCGCGAATCGGGGAGGGGTGGCCAACCAGCCAATGGGCGCAGGATATGGCGGAACACGCAGTGCGCACAGCTGAGACAGTAGCGCCGCGACGGACCGAGTGCAGCAGAAAGAGGGACGCTGTCAGGTCGGTGGCGGGAAGGAAGGGAAGTGAGTGCGCCAAACAGAAGGCTCGAAACTGTCGCCAGTAGGGTTCGTAAGTGCGAAGGGTAGACTTCGCCCGAAGATCAACGGTGAGTGTGAGAAGGTCCGACAATAATCGACCAATATATGAGCCTGCGCAGTGAAATAAATTGATACATTAGTTGAATGCAAAACGAAGCGCATACATCGGAGAGTTCGGAAGACCAGCACCGCTAAAGGCATGACGGTCACTGCCAACGCGTAAACAACTAGCACCAAGGGTAAGGCGAAGGGCCATAACGACCTCCGGGCCCCAAGTGGAGCCGTCCAAGCTTAGCAAAGGCCACCAAAAGGCACTGGGCCAATATGGGATCACGAGAGTGAGAGAAGTGCGCGAGCGACGGGCATGAGCTAGGACAGCCGGGATGAGGGTGGGTGGAGGAAAGGCGAAGCAATTCTCGTGGCCCCAATTGATAGAAAAAGCGTCTTGCGCAACCGCAGAGTGTGAGAACTCGAGGGAGCAGAAACGAGCGAGCTGCGCATTGGCAGGGGATGCGAACAAGTCGATAGTATGAGGCCCCCAATGCCTCTCAAGCAGCCGGAACCAAGGTCGTGTCAAGGAGTAGTCGTCGTGGAGCTCAATCTTGGACAGAGCGTCAGCCTCGGTATTCAGCGCACGGGGAATCCATTGGACCGTAAGACGGATCATATGGCGCACGCACAATTGAATAATCGCGCGGCATACGAAGGTAAGCTCGGGACGGCGAGAGCCTCCCTTCTGGAGGATGTAGTAGGCCGCCTGACTGTCGCTGCGGAGCAAGATGTGCGAACGTCGGATTTCGACAGAAAAGGCCGAAAGGGACCAAAAGATTCCGGCCAGCTCGCGAAGGGTACTGGACGAGCCCAAGAGGGCTAGAGGCAGCGGGGAGGAGAGCGAGCCGACACGACCATCCGGCGCTGAATAACAAGCCCCCCAAGCATGGTCGCTAGCATCCACGTACATGACCACGTCGTACAAATGCGGGTTGTGGAAGCGGGCGCCGTTGAAAACGTCGAACTGTGTAAGCCAAAATCGCAGTTCTTCAACAGACTCAGGGGTGAGGAGAATGGCCGCCCCCCATGAGTGGCATTCGGCGATCTGCGTAAGAAGGTGGTGGGAGAAAGCGCGCGCGACAGTGCCAAGCGCCAAGGACATGGAGGCCAACATGCCGGTGATGCGGGCAGCGCGGCGAACAGGGATGCGACGCCCGTTAGTGCCGAGTGTGCCTAATTCATCCAGCTCGGCAAAAAGCCGGTTGCGCCGATCCGCATCGACCGAGAAAGTGGTGGTGCGCGTGTCCAGCAAGAGGCCCAAGAACTTCAAAGATTGTGCCGGTGCGAGTTGTGATTTTTTGAAATTCACAACAAAGCCCGCGGCTGCGAGGTCGGCAATGATTATGGAGCGGTTGTGAAGAGCCTCCGCTCGAGTGGCACTGATGAATAGGATATCATCGACGTATGGAATAAGGCGGATGCCACGGCTACGCCAGCGTTTGGCGAGTTGCTTAATTAACTGGGTAAACACAAACGGCGCTGTAGCCAGCCCGAAAGGCAAGGAGAGGAATTGGTAGTCCTGCCCTTGCAAGGAGAATCCGAGAAACTGCCAGAAAGCGGGGTGAATGTCGACGTGGTGGTATCCAGATTTGAGATCGATCGTGAATAGCCAATCGCCTTCTTGCACCAAATCAGGAACGCGAGTAAGTCCTTCGTATCGAAAACGAGGTACTGAGAGGAATGAGTTGACATGCCGCAAATCCAATATCAGTCTCTTTTTTGAGGGTTGGACAATCACGTTTAAGGGGCTAACGCATGTGAGGGTTGTGGAAGGAGGAACGACCCGAGCTGCGCCGGTGGCGAGAAGCTCGGCCACTGCGCCTACGGCGAAAGAGGTGAATTGCAAAGCACCGGCATGGTTCTTAGTACGAGACGGAGGGGGCTCAGAGGCAACCCATGGTAGGCGATATCCAGATGTAATCACCGATAGAATCAAGCGGCTGTCGCACCAGGCGGACCACCATGCAGCGCGGTCACGGAGGCGGCCTTGCATGCGGGTAATCTTGGTTGCGTCATCGGCATAGGCCGAAATGGTTCCGAGCTCTGGTAGGAGAGGGAACACAAATAGGGACGGTAGAGAATCAGGAAGGTACCTCATGTAGTTCCGAACGCAACGATTTTTTTTTTTTTTTTTTTTTTTTTTTTTTTTTGGAAGGAAGGCAAACGCTAGATATAGGTGCCTGCTTGCTCGCTATTATTTGGCCACGTCATCCCTTAAGTGATAAACTATGGGTTGGGAATGTGAACTTGGCATTTTGGGCTGTAGTTGGTCGTCATATATTCCTTGTCGTGAACCAAAAAGTGTTTCGGGAAATGTTGCCAAAGCATTCGCCAAGTGTTCTAATCTTAGTCTGCCAGGAGTGTTCACCCACATGTTCGCAAAACGTTTGCAAAGCATTTGCGCAAATGCTACGCAATCGTTTTGCGAGCATACGGTTTTTTTTTTTTTTTTTTTTTTTTTGCGATGGACATAGAAATCTTGTGATGAATCTTATCAACGTCAGTCTTTAAAGGACGCACACACATTGTGTATGCGTCTTGTGGGCACGCTCACGTCTTCTTGCACGGGCCCAACGTGCAAGACCATGTGGCCGTATGACGCGCGTATTAATCTTGCTTGAATGCACAAATGTGCGTGTGTGTGTTTTTTTTTTTTTTTTTTTTTTTTTTTTTTTTTTTTTTTTTTAAATTAAGAACGCTACAACATCGGAGAGGTTAAGCAAACTTTACACAATCTTAGCTGGCCGATTGGCCCCTTGGCCCCTTTGGGGGCAATTAGCCATCCCATGCCCGGGTTCACGGCAATAGAAACAACGGCCGTCGCCGTCCCTACGCCATGTGTTCCAAAGGCGCTCCCCTTGGCCGCGAGGGCGAAGAGGGGGTTCAGGACGGGAGGTGGGATGGGTGGGCCGAGTGGGCCTCTTCTTGCTGGCCGCTACAATCTGAGAAGCGGCCTTCACATTCTTATCCTCTACCACTTCCCCATACTTAATCTTAAGGGCCATATTGGCCACTTCGAAACCGCGTTGATCGGCGGTAAACAAAAAATGAATCTTCTCTTCCGCCTCCTCTACTATCTGCTGGAGATAGTCGGCGGCTTGTTCTCCACCGTCAAGTGGTAAAACCGAGATAGCATGACGTGCAATAGCTTGAATGCGCTCAAAACTAAAAAGTTGCGTACGAATTCCATCGCTTTTAACTAAGGAAGAGCGCAACTGAGGACGTGCAGGTGGAATAGGAGCGAGGGTGAGCGATGCAGAAGCGGATTTCGGGCGGGCGGCATTACCTTCGTCGAGCGTGGCATGGGGTGCTTCCTCGTCCATTTCGTCGTCAACGGGCTCGGGGGCGGGCGCCGGGAGGCGAGAGCGTGGGGCCACCGTCGCTGCGACGCGTGCTGGTTCCGGTGGCGGTGCGGGATCGGCGCCATTGCCACGCTGGAGCGCCGCGAGAAGACCAAGAACGTGGTGAATGGCCTCGTTGTTGGTGCCGACGTTAACATTGTTGTCGGTGTAGCGAGCAGAATTATGTTCTGCAGAATGAGGCGCTGTAGATGCAGTGGAGCGTGCTGTAACGCGTTCGCCAGCAGCTCCTGTGAAGATTCGCTGGAGATTGCGCTGGGCTGCAGGATCCAGGCGCGCAATCATTTCGGCGATTTCTGCTGCTCCAGGGGTCGAGATCTGCGGAATCCCGCGCGGATTCACTGCGGCAGGAGCAAAATCTGTGCGGCGATCTGCGCGATCCCGGTCCCGATCCTGGCGATCCTGGCGAATCTGGGGCGCTGGGGCGTTGAGATCGCGCTCATGATGACGCCCTGCGCGCGCAGTATCACGATCATGATTGTGGTCCTCGCGCGCAGGACCGTCATGATTGCGTTCGGTAGGTGGGGGCCGGGAGGGGGCGTTTTCGGCAGTCGGGTTCGTGTCGACGCGGTTCTGCTCGTTACGCCGCTCGCCTTGAAATCCGGGGGGGAAATCGCGATTGCGTGACGTGTTACGATCCGCGTCCCCTGCCGCGTTTTCGACGTGCTGAACAGGGTCTTGACGCGCGCCACTCAGCAAATCCAAAGCGGTAACTGCGCCGTTACCTCCGCCAGGACGAGGAGAACGAGATCGTTCTCTATGCTGAGATGAAGAGTTTCGGTCCCCCTCACGTACAGGGGACCCACGCCTTCCACCACTCCTAGTATTCACACGAGGAGCAGGAGGCCTACCACTTGCAGCGGAAATGAGTCCGCTAACCATTGTAGAGTATCTAACAGAAATAACGTCTTGCAGCAAGAGACTTCTATGCCCAGATCTGGGCATAGAGGTTTAGAGTGTGCTGGTGGTATACAAGTTGGAACAGAAAAATGCAAATGAGACTAGGTGGCAGGTCTGAAAGACCTGCCGATAGATGAAGGAGTTTGTCTCCTTTACAGCAAACTCCTCTTCTAGTCGAATCACAATCTGTAAATTTTTTACTACAAAAAAAATTTCTCATGTGTTGCTTATAACTGAGTAAATTAATAAAAGATACGGGGCTTCTGAAATGTATAAGGTAAATGGAAAATTTGTGGAATTTTTGCAGTGTTTTTTTCTGTTACCCTTCCATTTTTACGTTTCCCTGTCGATCGAAACTGGATGACGAACTGCTGGAGTGAAATTGGACTCGATTCCCTGCCAGCTGGCACAACCGGATAGCCGTGACCCTCGTTCCTACCTCGCACCACCTGACGCGCTCAGCTCCCCCCACTACATGTTCGCAGTCTCGCAACTCCCTCGTTGCTTGCCTTTTTGCTTCGACCTGTAAACTTGTATCAAAAGTATACATATTCAGCATAAAGGGTTAAAAGGGGCTTATCCTATGTACAACGGAAAGAACGGGTCTATACAGTGAGATACCGTAATAAAAAAACTGCCAGAAATAAGCCCCACGGGGGCTTTAAAATTTCAGGGTCTTAAATCCGAGCAAATACAGTACATTTTGTCAACTTATACATATTATCTATGTAGAAGTTATAGGCTAGACTGAGGTATGCTTCTAGTGAGTACAACCAACTAGTATTTGTTCTAGGTTTCCACCTCTAGTAAATCATTCGTTTCTACGTTAACATGGTATCACGCTTAGGTTAGGATCCCCCCGCCTACCGCTTCCGCCCGTCGCGCCTCCTAGGCCCCGTCGCGCCCCCTAGGCCCCGTCGCGCCCCCCCTGGGCCCCGTCGCGCTCGTTAGGCCCCGTCGCGCCCCCCCTGGGCCCCGTCGTGCCCGCTGGGCCCCGTCGCGCCTCCTAGGCCCCGTCGCGCTCCCCCTGGGCCCCGTCGCGCCCACTGGGTCCCGTCGCGACCCCTAGGCCCTAACTCGCCCCCGCTGGGCCCCGTTGCGCCTCCTAGGCCCCGTCGCGCCCCCCATGGGCCCCGTCGAGCCCGCTGAGCCCCGTCGTGCCTCCTAGGCATCGTCGCGCCTCCTAAGCCCCGTCGCGTCCCCCCCTCTGGGCCCCGTCGCGCCCGTTCGGCCCCGTCGCGCCCCTCCTAGGCCCCGTCGCGCCCGCTGGGCCCCTTCGCGCTTCCTAGGCCCCGTCGCGCCTGCTAGGCCCCGTCGCGCCCCCCCTGGGCCCCGTCGCGCCCGTTAGGCCCCGTCGCGGCCCCCCTGGGCCCCGTCGTGCCCGCTGGTCCCCGTCGCGCCTCCTCGGCCCCGTCGCGCCCCCCCTGGGCCCCGTCGTGCCCGCTGGGCCCCGTCGCGCCCCTTTGGCCCCGTCGCGCCCGCTGGCCCCTGTCGCGCCTGCTGTTAGCGCTCGCCCGCCTGGCCTCCTCCTAGTGCCGCTCGGCCTCCTCCTAGTGCCGCCCGGCCTCCTCCTAGTGCCGCCCGGCCTCCTCCTAGTGCCGCCCGGCCCCTTCCTAGCGCCGCCCGGCCTCTCCTCAGCGCTGCCCGGCCCCTCCTCGTGCCCGACCGGCCCCAGCAGCACCAGCCTGGCCCCTCCCAGCACCAGCCCGGCCCTAGAGCACCTGCCCGCCTCCCCTGCTCGGCCTGCCGTGTCCTCTCGGGCCCTGTGTCTTCTGCTTGCCTGCGCTGGGACGCCTAGCTGCTGCCCTACTGGAGAGTGCTGCTGCCGTGTCCCCGCGCCGCTGTGCTCCTGTGCCGCTGAGGAGCTGTGCTGCTGTGCCGCTGTGTCGCTGAGGAGCTGTGCCGCTGACCCTGCACGATGGCTGACTTTGTGCTCCGCCTGGACGCTGAGGGCCACGCGGTTGACTTCGCCGCCTGGCTCTCCGATCTTCGCCGCCAGCTTACAGGTCAGCGCCAGGATGGCCACTCTCTGGTTGTCCATGCTGATGGCTTGCTCCCCCGTCCCCCTGCACCTACTCCCCTCCCTGCTGACCCCTCCTCTGATGACCGTGAGGCTTTCTCTACTGCTGCGCTAGCCTGTGCGGTCTGGGACTCACGCGATGCAGTAGCTCAGGTTGCTATTAGTCACGCCCTCCCTGTGTCTGAGCGCTCGCGTTTTGCTACTGTTGAAACGGCCAAAGCTTATTTAGACGCCGTTATTGCTCGCTATTCCACCCCTGCCTCCGCTTCTGCTGGCCGCTTGCTCTTTCCGATGCTGTTCCCAGACCTGGCTGCCTTCCCTACTGTCGCAGATTTTGCCACTCATTTGCGTGCCCTAGAGACTCGCTATCGCACTGCCAGCACTGCTGCCCAGCTCACTGCGCTCCCCCCTCCTTTCTGCATGACGCTCTATTTTATCGCTATGCGCCTGCCAGACCGCCTCGCTAGTGCTCGCGACCACTTTCTTAGCCAGCACCCGGGTGACCTCACCCTGACCGCCTTTGTCGACACCCTCACTGAGATCGAGACTCGCCAGCGCACTATCGCTCAGTCGAGCGGTGCGCCGGCAGTCTCTATCTTTCACGGTTGTGCCCCATCCCCGTGCACGTTCACTGACGTTTCGGCTGCGGTCGCCACGGCGACCCCTCTTACCGAGACGGCTGCTGCTGTCCACCCGCAGCAGCGCTCGCGTCGCGGTGGCCGTGGCCGCCAGGGAGGTAGGGGTGGTGACGCAGGTGGTAGTGGTCGTGGTGGTGGTGACGGTAGTCCGCCTGAGGGGACTACCACCGGTGGGCAGGAGCAGCAGTCCCAGCAGCAGCAGGACCAGCCCCAGCCGCAGCCGCCGTCCCAGCAGCACCCGCCGCAGCCGTGGGCTCGTCTCCCGCCTGGTTGGCCCGGCACCTCCGGAGGCGGTGGCCGTGGTGGCGGCCCGCGCAGCTTGGCGTCTACCAGCGGCTCCAGTGCTGTGACCTGCCAGTACCAGCTTCAGACCGGGCCTCTCCGCGGCACTCTGTGCCGCCGCCCGCACCCGACCGCCCACTGTTTCCGCCGCCTCGACGATCTTTTTCGTCGTCGCTTTGGCCCGGCCCCGGACCTCCCTGACTGGCACAGCCTGCTCCGCCAGGGCGTGCCGATCTTTGAGTTAGACATGGATCAGATAGGTGCTGCTTTGCATGCTTTGTATGCTGACGCTTCTAGTGTTGATGGATCTTACTACCATGTGTACTCTTGTTTAGGTGTTTCACCCTTGTGTAGCTTAGCTTCCCCTGCTGCGACAGGCGTAGGACTGCCTAGGTTGCCTAGTCTAGTCGCTGCACAGGCTCCGTCCGCGGCCTCCGCCACTGCGTCGCTGTCCTTCACTCTTGACTCTGGTGCTTCTGCCTGCTTCTTCCGCGACCGTTCCACGCTCACGCCGCTTGCTGCACCTGCTGTTGTCTCTCTCGCTGACCCCTCTGCGGGTCCGGTCGTCGCGCGCAGTTCTACGTCCCTTCCCTGTCCGGCAGTTCCCTCGGGCTCCCTTACTGGCCTCCACGTTCCCTCGTTCTCCAGGAACCTGGTTGGTGTCGGCTGTCTCCAGGACCTCGGCGTCACCACCACGTTCCCCGGGCACGAGCGGTTCGCTGTCTGTTCTGAGGCTGTCTCCGGTTCCCCCCTTGCGACGTTCCCCCGGGACCCGGTGTCCGGTCTGTTTACCCTACACACCGCTTCCCCCCCGGTTGGTGCGTCCTCCCAGGTCGCTGCAGCTTGCTCGTGTCGGTCCCTCACTCACCCCTCCCTTCTCTGGCACCACCGCTTAGGTCACCCTGCTCTCCCGCGTCTGCGTCACATGTCCCAGCACGGTCTTGTCTTAGGTCTCCCCGCGTCGCTCCCTGCCCTTCCTCCCTCGACTGCGCCACCGTGCACGCCTTGCGTCGAGGGTCGGCTCCGCCGTGCTCCTCACTCCTCCTCGCTGCGTCCTGCTACTGCCCCCCTTCAGACCCTGCACTTGGACGTTTGGGGCCCTGCCCCCGTCCCCGGACCGCGCGGTGAGCGCTACTTCCTTGTGCTCGTTGACGACTACACGCGCTACACCACGGTGTTTCCCCTGGAGCGGAAGGCCGACGTGCCCGACGTTCTTCTCCCGTGGGTTGTAGCTGCGCGTCTCCACCGCGGTCTCCCCGTGTTGTGTCTCCACTCCGACCGTGGCGGCGAGTTCGCCTCTGGTCGGCTTGGACAGTTCTGTCGTGCGGAGGGCATCACCCAGTCGTACACGTTGCCGGACTCGCCACAGCAGAATGGGGTTGCTGAGCGCCGCATCGGCTTGGTCATGGAGGTCGCCCGTACCTCCATGATCCATGCCGATGCCCCCCATTTTCTGTGGCCGTTCGCTGTTCGCTACGCGGCTCACCAGCTTAACCTGTGGCCACGCTCCCAGCGGCCGCAGGTTTCGCCGACCCTCCTTTGGACCGGGTCCCCCGGTGACGCGTCTGCGTTCCACGTCTGGGGCTGCCTTGCTCACGTTCGTGCCTCTGGCACGGACAAGCTCACTGCCCGCACTGTCCCCTGTGTCTTCCTCGGTTTCCCCATGGACTCGTCTGACTGGCTTTTCTACCACCCGCCGTCTCACCGCTTCCTCCACTCTCGTGACGTCACCTTTGACGAGTCCGTCTCCTTCTACCGCCGCTTCCCTCACCGAGGTCTCCCAGTTGCCCCCCCCCTTTTCCTTGCTCCCTCTCCCCCGGTAGCCCCTGCCCCTCTCCCGCCTCGTCCTGCCCCGTCTGGTGTCTCCCACGTCACTCCCCTCCCGTCGGTTGTCCCCGTTGAGGAGTCTGCTGACTCTGGTGGTACCCCCGGTCCGTCCTTGCCGCGTCCCCCTTCCCCAGTGCCTCCGCCCCCACTGTCGCAGTCGCCGACCCCGCTGCCGCCGCCGTCGCCGTCGCCGCCGCAGCCGTCGCCGCTGTCGCCGCCACTGCCGCCGCTGCTCTCGGCCCCTGGGGGTGCTGGTGTGGAGGAGGGTGTTCGTCCTGCGGCTTCTGGGGGTGCCGCTGGTGTTGGAGGGGGTTCTCGCTCTTGGG